ACCTAAAATGGGATAAAACATTAAAAAAAAAGAAAAAGAAAAGTATAGCAGCCTCTTTTTCATTCATTATAGTTTTATTGAGGAGATAATATGAGCTCAACGCTATGCCTTATTTTGGAAACATGGGGGTGAACAATACAGAGCGAAGTCCCTTTACGGAGTGTGTGTTTTCAGTTCTGTAGGATGCAACTGGAGTGGATTCTGGTTGGCAGAGAGGAAGGTGGCAAGGCTTCAGCATCCAACACACCCAGGTTAGAAACCCCACTTTGCCCCATATTCTAGCTTTGAAACTATGAGCATGTCATTTGAACTTTCTGAACTGCAGCTTCCTCAAGTGTAAAATGGGGATAATAGAACCTGGAATAAAACGAACCTCATGGGGTTGCAAAGACTAACGACGACCCACTGCAGGCCCAGAAATAATATTGGTTACTTTGGCCCCTTTCCCAATTACGTTTGCCTCTGAAATGACTGAAAAATTGTACTGGAATACATGCAAAATGATGGCCTAGAATCTCAAATAAGCCAAATTGAGAAGATAGTCAGCATCATAAGAAATGAATGAGATGACAACATGTGCTGACCAAGAATTTAGCTTTAAAGTAATTATGCTGTTCTAAAGATGTAAGCAAAGAGGAGTGGGTGGGTTTGTTTGTTGGTTGATTGTTGTTTTGTTTTGCTTTGCTTTGTTTTTTGAGATGGAGTCTCACTCTGTCTCCAGACTGGAGTGCAGTGGCATGATCTTGGCTCACTGCAACCTCTGCCTCCCGAGTTCAAGCGATTCTCCTGCCTCAGCCTCCCAAGTAGCTAGGATTACAGGCATCTGCCACCAAGCCTGGCTAATTTTTGTATTTTTAGTAGAGACGGGGTTTCACCGTATTGGCCAGGATGGTCTCGATCTCCTGATTTCGTGATCCACCCGCCTCAGGCTCCCAAAGTATGGTTGGTTTTTAAGTATGATTTTCTTGCAGGTGTCAGAAATTTATGAGTTGAACATATGCACTGGGCAAAAGCTATATACTTTGGATGACTCTGAGAAAGGCCACTGTTTGTCTGAAGGAAAATTATGAAAAACCGAACATCACCCACATGAGTATGAAGCATTTCTAGTTTCTACTTTGCCTTCTGTGTCTAAAGCTATTGTCAAAAGAGCAAGAATAGCCTTTTCCGGATAAGAAAAGATTTACACTTTGGATAAAATTTACCAAGTGCCAACATTATCTATTCTTCAGTTTTTTTGTTTGTGTCCTTTGGCATCTTTACTGAGAAGAACTCAGATTTATAAGGCATTTGATAATCTTCCTGAGGTATCCATTGTGGCTGAAAGCTTTTTGGGAGGTCTGGAAAGCAGGGCCAGTATGAATCTTTGGGAAAGGTGACTTCTTATGACTATGAGATTACCCTGTGCTAGGAAACCTCCTCTTCTAGCCTAGCTTCTTGGTGAGAAACTGCTCTCAAATCTGCTTATGAACTGACATTTCTAGAACCAAATCTATGGGAATAGAATATAATTCTGAAGAAAGATATAGACACAGAAGGGACAAAAATACAGGAAAAGAAAAAACAGGAGGAAGGGAAAATCATTTGGCCATTTCTTATGTGCAAGAATAACATGAATAGAGTACAGGACCCCCGCTTTTATCAGATTCACTACAGCTCCACTATCTTCACATTTTGGGGTATCATAATTTTATGATCAACACCTTTGTTGGATAGCATCACCAAATACACTGGTCACATAAAGGGTGCCATCTGGAGACTGTTTTTCCGCCAACCTTATAAGAGAGGGCAGATGTCAGATCCCGTCAAAATAGCCTTTAGAGAATACATGAGAAATTTTAAATAGGATATCACGTAACATATTATTTATGTTAGTTAGCCATGAAAAATTCTGTGGGACTCTAAACCTCCCCTGTGAGTCACCTGGGTAAATGCAAATTAACATTTATACATTCAGTTAACACTGGTGAATTATCATTTCAGAGTAGTCAAGGGATTGGGAAACCTAATGATGAGGAATGGGGGTCTAATTGGACTTACTGGGGGGTCTCTCTAGAAAGTTCTTCTAGAACTTCTAGAGACAAGATGCCTTTAATATTCAAATCAAGTTCTCAGTTATACAGACTGTATTAAGCAGGGCTGTGTTAAAGATACACAGCGTGGTTTTCAATTGGAAGAAACAAGCAATTGATGGTGAAATGGAAAATCACAACAAAACTTCCTGTGTGACTTTGTGAGATAAACCTAAGTCATAAAATGCACAGACATCAGGCTCCCAACCCACAATGGTTATGAATTAAAGAATAGCACTGCAAGATGGTAACAAACAGATGTTTAACATTTTTTTCATGTTTATTGAGGAAAGCAGCCTGATAAACTAGTCATATGTATTGAGTTTCCACTATCTACAGAGCACTAAACTGGGCTCAGATCAATACCAAAGTTGATAATGCAATTAGAAATGAATACCTAACTACACTCTATACAGGCTACCATTAAGCCTTAATGTAGCAGTAAATGTTCGTTCCAGGCTTTTCTTAAATTTACCTGTAACATGTTACTTATTGTTTTCATTTTTATGAATTCTATATGGATATGGTGAAATTATCTTGGTTTTTCAATTCAAAATAAAAGGAGAGAACTGAGAAGCACAGAAAAGAACAGCCACAAAAACAGACCCTGTAATTGTTCTAAATTGGTGGCATAAAATCACATTACTTAAAGGGATTTTTTTTTAATACAAATCCCCAGACCCCATAGATCTTCCCTTCAGAATGTACAGGGGTGGGATCTGGGTGTATGCATTTTTAAAAGACCTATAGGTGATAGAATTCAATTTCAGTTTTTAAAAATAATCATCAAATAATGTCAAGTAATGCAGGTGCACTAGGAATTTGTGCATTTCTATGCAATAGGAAAAAGTGAATTTATAAAATCCTTCTATAACGTACTTTTTCCTTTTAGTAGATCATGGCATCTGCACCTTTAGCACCAGGCTACTGGATATCTACTTAATAGATTCTTTCTCTATCTAAAAATAGTAGACATTTTTATAGCCAAAGCAATCTTCAGTTTGAAACTTTCTAGCAACCACATATTAACTCAAGTTGAAAGGTGCTAAACACAGATGTTGTACCTCCTGTTCTCCTTTAGGGATTTAAAGAATGTTCCACCCTCTATCCTTGTCTTGCTGAGATGTACTAGGCACCTTGGAGTAAAAGCCTTTGTTTTGTCAAGGCTCAGTGTCATAAATAAATGCTGTGGGTAGGTGGGTAGTGCACATCTGTAGTGATCCGAAACAGTGCTTCTTAGAGTGTGGACCTCAAACCACCTGTGCTGGAAGCCCTCAGGAGCTTCTTAACATTGTAGATTTCTGGCTGGGCAGGTGGCTCAAGCTTGTAATCCTAGCACTTTGGAAGCCCAAGGCAGGAGGATCATGAGGTCCGGAGATCAAGACCATCCTGGCTAACACAGTGAAACCCCACTGCTACTAAAAACACAAAAAAATTAGCCGGCTGTGGTGGCACATGCATGTAGTTCCAGCTACTCGGGAGGCTGAGGCAGAAGAATCATTTCAACACAGGAGGCAGAGGTTGCTGTGAGCTGAGATCATGCCATTGCACTCCAGCCTGAGTGACAGAGCAAGACTCCATCTTTAAAAAAATTAAAAATTAAAAATTCAGATTTCTAGACCTAACACCAGATATATTGAGTCAGAATCCCTAGGCACAAGGCATAAGAATCTAAATTTTAAGTCAGCTACTCAGTAATTCTCTTGCATACTGCAATTTCCAGAACACTGGATGAGATACTCTCAGAGGTCCCTTCGAGCCCAAAGTTTTATATGTCAGTCATCATTACAGAACAAACTGACAATCTAATTTCAATTGGATGCTCTAATTGCTGAAAAATCCCTCTTTTCTTTTTCTGTTCTATTTTAACCTGCATGTTTAATTAATTCACTGTTCTCAGCATGAGTTAACATGTGGCTGCTAGAAAGTTGCAAACTGGAGATTCTGTTGGCCGCAACCTTGTCTACTACTGCTTAAAGGGAAAATGATCAGATATTTCCTGATTTTTTTTAAAAAGATATACATTAAAGTATGGTGGAGAAAATACTCTCTTCTGAAATGACCTCTTCAAATAGTCTTTATACTTTTAGCTATAAAGTGAACCATATGCAATATAACCTCTTGCATATGTTCAATAAAAAAGCAGGGTTAAACCAAATCTTGTTACCACCAAAATATTTGTACTACACATAAGATGTTTTCAATAGAAGGATTGAGACATTTTTTATTTGGCTTATAAAAAGGAAATTGCTCTCTTCTCTAAAGGAACACAGAGAAAGGCTGATATATCTTCAGAAATATTCGTTACAGCTCATATCTTTTAAGAGTGAAACTCACTATCTGATGTTGATTCTACAAAGATTAAGAAACTTGCCATGGTTGTGAATAACCTCAGTACTTCTAAAGCTACAAAATAGATACCTTAGATAGTTTGATATTGGAGATTTATCCCTTCACCTAAAAAAAAACTCTAAGATTTCCAAAGGATGTCTGACATTTCTCTGCTACTCAATGCTCCAGAATCCTTCATTAGGGGACGTGGTATTTTATTCTATAATCCTTAGTCCCTGGGAAAGGGAACACAGTGGGTTTCTTTTGGACTAACATAGAAGTGACTGAAAAAGTTCCTCTTGTGTGGGTTTTCTTGCAGAAGAGCAGAAGTAGTGAGATGAGAAGGGACCCCAAGCAATAAATGGTGCACCACTGGGTTGGAGGTGGGCATCATAAAATTTAAAGAAGGTTCAAACAGGCAACCTTTTTATTCATCTCCCACAACCCACCCTCTTACCAGCTTTATCACACAGGATCAATAATTCTTTGCTTTCTCACTGTTCCTAATGTCCACATGAGAAAAATAAATTCACTCTCCACCACCGTCAATGTAACAGAAAATATGCATACACCAAGAAAGGAAACTTCACTCTAGCATGAGAATATGATGCCAGTTGAAACTAGTTTATTGAGATTTTGACAGACATATCCACGACTTCATTATGACAAGTCATGAGTGTCATGAAAAATTCAAAAGTAGTGCATGTCCAAGAGAGATGTCAAGTTTCCAAATATGTCCCAGAGAACATCAGCCAGGGGAGGCAGCTTAAGGAAGCATCTGGTTTTTCATTTTCCTCCCCTGGGACTCGAGGCAGGTTGGAAAGCAGTGTCTCTGAGGTTGATGAGCAAATGAGGACTGAAGGAGTGGATACGGGAGGAACTTGGAGATGTGCTGCTCAGCCTTCAAGGAAAAGAAGATTCTATGCCTCGGGGATTTCAGCCAATCAGTAGAGAGCAAATGGCCAGTATCTCCTGCAGCCGAAAGTCCCACAGCCGTTGTAGCCATAGCCAAAGCCATAGCCCACTGGGGAGTAGGTGCTGCCATAGCCACAGCCCACGCTGTATCCCAGCGGGTAGCCATAGCTGCCCCAGTAGCATCCTGGGAAGACAGCACTGGAGAAGTTGTTGCAGTACATGGTGTCAGGAGTGGATGGCTTAGGTAGCAACGGAGTGCGTTTCCTCAGTGGGATGGATTCCTAGTCTCAGAACCTTCTTTATATACCCTGGCTGTGGTGTGTGGTAAAAAGCACAAGGCCCTCATTTTCATTCTTGACACCAATTTACATTCTAAAAGCTCATTAACTTGTTTTGCCCTTGCTTATGATGTCTTTACAGTTGCCTAAGAAAGCTCTCATATGATACAATGCGGGGAGAAGATGCCTTTTAAAAAAATTACGTCCCTTCCTAAAAAAAAATTATTGCCAGGACTTCAAAGCACATTGTCTCATAGACCCTATGTTACACACGGTAAGCAGGCATATAATATCAAGAAATACTCTGAGGTTTTTAGCTGTCATGCAATCCTCTTGCTCTCTGAATTTTCACAACACACAGTTGGAATTCAATAAATATGTGTTAAATACATTAATTAATAAAATAACAAATAGATAGTGAGTCCATCATAAAATTCTCAAAATCAAAGTATGTCTTAGAATATGTGTGCTTCAAGGATTCTCTTTCTTTGGAGTACTGAAAGACAAGTGTCATAGAACTCATCAGAAAAACTTCTTTTCTCTCTCATCTACAGCTACCTTGTTTGGGAAACTGGTTAAACATGTAATCTTAATCACAGTCCTCTCCTAAACTATACCCAATATCACATTTCTAGAAGACTGTTCTAATTCATAGTATTGAAATAGTACTAAAATTAAAAATGGAGTATTTGGATTAATTCTTGTACTGAATTGTCAAATTTAATTTTATAGCCTGAAACATTTTCTCAACTAAATGTTGAAACTCATAAAGTAAACAGAAAAATGAATGAAAAAATGACCATAAGATTTAGAATATTTTTTCTCTGAGATCTGATAAAACCAGATTGTCTGAAAAAATGTGACATTATAAAGTGCCAGATGACAATATGAAATCAGTTGTTTCACTTTTAGAATGATCATTCACCCCAGGATAAAGAAGGAATGTTATTCCTCTCTAAGCACAGAGTTAGTTCTCAAACATGAATTGAAGAAGGGAGAAGACTGATCAAAACTATCATGGATCATGTAAGACCTGATGTATTATTTATTCCCAGGACACCTGCAGTTAAGATTTCTTACAGTGGCACTTAGTGGAGAACTTGCAGAACAAATAGCCGAAGAGGACACAGTGGAACAGAAATGAAAGGCACAGAGATATAGGGAATCATTCTAGAAGGCCACAAAACAGATATGTATTACACATGAGCTCCCCTAACTTTTACTTCATAACCCAGAGGTAATTTTGCTCCCTGCTATCCGCAGCTACAGATCAAAGACTGAATCCGAGAACAAGATGAGACACTTGGAAAATGCAAAACCATGCTAGCGTTCTAACTGGTTGTATGTCAGAGGCATTTTTTAGTATATTTTTGATTTTTTTGGAGGTGGAGTCTTGCTCTGTTGCCCAGACTGGAGTGCAGTGGCTATTTTGGCTCACTGCAGCCTCTGCCTCCTGGGTTCAAGCACTTCTCCTGCCTTATCCTCCCAGGTAGCTGGGATTACGGGCACGTGCCACTATGCCCGGCTAATTTTTGTATTTTTAATAGATACGGGGTTTCACCATGTTGGCCAGGCTGGTCTCAAATTCCTGACCTCAAGTGATCCTACCAGGCCTCAGCCTTCCAAAGAGCTGGGATTACAGGCATAAGCCACGACACCTGGAGATTTTTTGATACAGATATGCAATGCTTAATAGTTACATTCTGGAGAATGAAAACACCTACAGTACCCTGCTTCTTGAGCAAACCTGGATGGCTGCCTATGGGGATTCAGCATTTAAAATTCAAACAATACATGCGGCTTATAGCTAAATAAGTTCAGGGAATTGAAATTGGATTTATTCCCAGAAAGTAAAGGTATTCAACAGCAGATTATTCCCTAAAAGTCACAGAATGATTTGCATTCTATTGCTACTGGCATCACATTACTGTGTTTCATGATGGAAAATTTGGTAATGTTAGGGAAAAATAAAAATTAAACAAAAAGTAGCATTGTAGAATGGAAAATTTAAAATTGTGAATTCATATTGTCAAAGGTCAGCTGATGCTCTATTTAAATGAGTTCTCCCATTCACCTACCCAATCTGACAAGAGGCTAGCCTTGCCTTCTGCAGCGCAAAATCTAGCTCTGTACATGAATAGTAATTAAAATATGTCGTCTTTTTTAAAACTTAAGCCTTATTTACAGAGAACAGCTTGAATTTTCTCTAGAAAGTCTACAGAAAATTCCAACAAAAGAAAATTTTAGGGAAACATATCATTTAGCAACAAGTCATTTAAAACTTAATAGCAAACTTAATCCTATATTGAGCCTGTGAAAGCTTTTTTCTGATATTCAGGCTTATCAAAGAAAGAGTCAGGTTTTCATAAAGCCTGTAAAGTATACAATGTTGAGAGCCCTCTTTGTTAAAAAGTGCACAATATGACAAATATTAAATTAAGTACAAAAGTAAATATTTGTTAAGATGCTTGAAAATCACAAAAAAATTAAACAGTAGCAAAAAATACAAATATTACAAAATTCAGAGAAAAAATATAATTTGTATTATGAGTTGCCTGGCACATTACTGTAATAGTTTTCTTTCCCACAGGCTAGCTTCTAGCTCCATCATTTAAAACTGTTTTCTCCTCCACTACTCATCCTGTGCCCTGTGCCATGGGAAAAAACTCAGGCTGAGATATGACCTCTGGCCCTGCATTTTCACATCACACACTCTAGGTGGATCAGCAGAGTGGTGGAAGAATTCCTGGGAGCCATTCCCACATAAGAATGGCTAGAAGTAGCCTAATTAGATACAAAAGTGGCTGCAAAACACATAAATATATCCCACGATGCCCGAACTGAGTGTATCACTGACTCTACTTCTCCTTAACCAGATCCTAAAAGTGTCCACGGTCTCTCCGGTGCTGCCCTGCATGAGGGGAAATGTGATTGTGAGGCAGCCCAGTAGAAAGCAGCAGCATTTCAAACCAATTGCTGTTAAAATATCTCCTTTTGTAAATCTTCCCTGCAAATAAGCTATGTCACATGAAGGTTTACGAAAAAGAAAAATATATTCTCGCATGTTAACTAGCATGGTAATAGACTGATCATTGATGGATATTTATTGGCTTGGATAAAATTTATGACCCTCTTCTCTTTTAATAACAATCCTAAAACGTTGTTTAATAAATAATTTGACTTTTTCTTTCGCATTTCTTTGATTTCAAATAAGACATGACATAATAAAGATAAGAAAAATTCCTGCTTTTTGACTTTCTACAAGGGAGCAGGAAATATATTGTGTACAAATTTCAGAAACAGAATCAATTACAATATGCACAACAAAAATGTTCCTTTCTTATCAGCTTCAAATATAATGTCTATATCTTCAACATATTACAATTTATTAGAAATGAAAGCTAAATTAGAATGGAATAATTTTGTTTGTTTTTATTTTTGTTTTCGTTTGGGTTTTTGTGTTTATTTGTTTGTTTGGGTTTTGGTTTATTTTGAGACAGGGTCTTGCTCTGTCACCCAGGCTAAGTGTGTGGCATGATCACGACTCACTGCAACCTCCACCTCCCAGGCTCACATAATAGAATGGAATGTTTTAAATGGGTTTTAGAATACGTATCAGTGGTTACCATAGAATATAAAAACTGCCTTCCACTCATTTTTTTAAACATCTATTCTTACAGACATTTGTTGATCATGTATTATGTTCCATACATTATGTAGGTGCTGGGGATCCAAAGATGAATGAGAAATGGTAACTAAATTAAAAATTACAAATGAATGAAATACCTGTTATATGTTCTGTTGTATGTTCTAGCCTACAAGTCCTACTGCCCCTTGTAAACTTCTGGAGTAAAGGAGACAGTGGATGATTTTACCTGAAGTAGGGGCTACTTGCAGGAAAATTTCAGCATGAAAGGGATAGATAAACTGGGTCTTGAAAGAGGGTATTTTACTGGTGAACATTGGGTAGGAAGATAGTTGGATATAGGGAATATTCCAGAAGGAGGAAGTAGTTTAAAGCAAAGTCTCAAAGATATTAAATATTCCAGTGTCTTCCAGGAACTACAAATAATTCAGAAAGACCATAGCCTTGGATATAAAAGAATAATTAATGGAAGGTGATGCTGGAAAGGCAGTCAGGGGCACATGACTGTATGTGTTGTGGAAGGAAAGGAGCCACTTCATACACTAAAATGGGGGTGACACAAACAATTTTACACCTCAGAAATATCACTACTCAGAGTATGGAGGGTAAATTAGAACAGGGAAACCAAAGAGTCTGAAAGACAAGGTTTAAAACTTTATTTTTTTTTTTCGAGACAGAGTTTCGCTCTTGTTACCCAGGCTGGAGTGCAATGGCGCGATCTCGGCTCACCGCAACCTCCGCCTCCTGGGTTCAGGCAATTCTCCTGCCTCAGCCTCCTGAGTAGCTGTGATTACAGGCACGCGCCACCACGCCCAGCTAGTTTTTTGTATTTTTAGTAGAGACGGGGTTTCACCATGTTGACCAGGATGGTCTCGATCTCTCGACCTCGTGATCCACCCGTCTCGGCCTACCAAAGTGCTGGGATTACAGGCTTGAGCCACCGCACCCGGCTTAAAACTTTATTAGGAATGCTTTTGGCTGAAAGTTACAAAAACCCCATTTGAAAGTTGATTAAACAGAAAGAGTTTATATTTCACAAATAATAGGAAATGAGAACGTGAGTAATTCCAGGGTTGCTTCAGGCCTTGACAGTGTCAGGGTTCAGGGCTGGCTTCACAGCGATTCCCTCAGCAGTTACATACTTCATATTCTTATGCATCAACATCCAAAACCAAGAAAAGAAAGAGGACTTCTCAACAATTCCTCCTCATTTTGTTTCAGGAAGGAATATGTTTCACATTTGTCCTCCCATGGATTTCCTTTGGGGTCCATTGTCCAAAACTGAGTTACATCTCATGATTGAGTTCTAGGGGAAGGCAGCAAAATGTACACCTGCCCTTTCTGCCTAAATGATGTGAAG